GACTCTCAAATGAAAATTTCTTCCATGTATTCTGTAGGATGTGACATAAAGCAAGAACACAGCTTGGTCAAAAACAAAATATACAGCGAGTTAATTGCTAACAAGGGAATCCACATCTACCAGCCTGAAATGTTCAGAGAATTCTGCATCTCAGCAGGGGCAACAAATATTTTTGATGCCATTTTTGATGCAATTGCATCAGCAAGGCACTCCGCAGAGCATATTAATCTCAATAAGAGAAGGGCTGTGTCAGTTATTTACAACCTTTGCTACTGTTTGAGTCAGGCATGCAATGCACTTCAAACTGACCCCGCCCTTTACCTTAGGAGTTGTAATCTAAATCAAGAAGGTATGGACACACAGCACATTATGGGTCTCTCTTGTGCTAGAAGGACAGTGAACACCACTGCTAAATTGTTGTCTCAAAATCATTGCAAATCATTCAAAAATTTTATTCAAGGTGCGATTGAAAACAAGTGGCTTTTAGTCCTGATTATAGATGATTTTACCTCAATTCACACCAAACGAAGACCACAGAGAGATAAGGCATCCGAAGCAAAGTCAATGTGTACAATAGTCGTTAAAGCTTTTAAAAACATACCTGCCGTAAGTGTGCTGCAGGCTAGTATCATGCATGATGTAAATGGCATCAGTATGAACACATGCCTACAAATCATAACATCTGCATCATCTATGCAAAACATGAGCAGTTCATATGCTTCTGTAATGCCAAACTGGCTTACCGAGGCTTTTTTCAACCCAGAACTTCAACGCCAGTGACTCGACACCATCAGTATTCGGAAAACGGCAACGTGAAAACAATGTGAATACAATCTCATGGGGAAGATATTGAAAGAGTAACAAGTTTTTGTTGCTTAGGGGTTACACTGGATGAGCACCTCTCATGGATTGGGCACGTTGAAATAATTGTAACAAAGTAAGCAAACCTCTAGGACTCCTGTCCTGCATAAGACCCTATCTTACTCAAAAAGCTGCCCAATGTGTATACAATTGTCTTATACAACCAATTTTTAACTACACTGACACAGTATGGGATGAACTGTCAAAAGGCTGCGGTAAAAAGCTACAGCGTCTGCAGAACAGAGCAGCGCGCATAATACAAGAGAGGTCCACAACCGAAGAAGCATTTCAAATGTTAGGGTGGATAAACCTAGAAACACAGAGAACTATGCACAAGTGTATTTTAGTTTATAAATGTTTAAATAATATAGCTCCCCCTATTTTTGTGATTATTTCATAGGAAATAATCGTAACACAGTTATAACACCAGAAACAGTAACGCCCCTAAATTTAAGTTCAGGAAAAAAACACTTTTAGGTATTCAGGTTCGATCCTTTTCAATAAATTACCTGGAACATTGAAAGGAGCTACATCACTCTCGAAGTTTAAGAACCTTCTTAAACAATATTTTACTAGATGAGATATTGTATATTTTATTAGCTCTTTATTCTACATGATTGTGGTATTTTTATCTTGTAGTAGCTTTTAGCCAGTGGTAGTTTTTCAATTATTATGTACTAATCATTCTATACGCAGGGCTCCAATTGATACCAGCCTAGTGCTGAAAGGGCCACCCTGCTTAAATAAAGATGACTTTGACTTTGACTTTAATGAGAAAAATGGATGACCTACACCTTGTTGACTTTGTGGAGTTACAACTTAAGTCCAAAGAGGACTTTATTACAGCATATAACATAGCACTTAGCGCTGGTTTGCGTGATTATGCAAAACAGTTCATTATTTTTCAGCCTGGTGATTGGCCACGTCAATTATTCTGCCGCCAAATAATATATCAGTGTATGAAGAAGTTTATCAGCTATCAGCAACCTCATCAAGTCAACTGTGAAAACCCTCAAGGTGCATCAGATCATTCGGCATATTCTTATCCATCCTTCAATGGTTCTGACAATGAGCAAAGTTTGCCATCAAAATTGTCTTCTCAGCCCTCCATTCTCTCTGTGATTCCAATGATAGGTCCTCTCCAGATATCCTAGAACAGTAGAGAACACATTGTTACTTCCTTCTATCCATTTTTCAAAACAGTGTATGAAAGCATTCTTACTCGATCAAAACTGGCAGACAATCCAAAACCCTGGAGGATCAGCTTGCTCTTAGAAATTGTTTACGGAGGATGGGCATTAATAAATTTCAAGAATCTGTGATGAAAAAGCTTTGGCGATTTAAAGATCCTGAGTATGGAACGCTTTTTAATATTTTGGACAACAACATACACTTAGTTCTTTCTATTTACAGCATTTCTTTTAAACTTAATAATTTTGCAGAACACTTCAGAGCGATGATTCGAATGTGGATTATGTTCACCTGCCTTAAGCGTTGTCATTACAACAAAGCTCCACTTGTCTGGCTTAACATGTGCTCACACTGGGGAAAGCATTCACCCCAACTTTATAAACTTCTTCGTACCTACATAACAATTTTTGATGAGTATCCTGTTGAAAATACCCACAGCATTCTACGTGCCCAAACGAAGCCCTCTGACAGTGCCGATAAATTAAGAAATAAAGCCAAACAACGTATGATGCACGATCCTCGCAGTAGATAGCGCTATTTAAGCAATAGCGAAAATCAGACCTGAAAAAAATCAGGCCTGTACGGAACTTCATATATTTCATTGTAGCCAAAGCCAAACAAGTTTTTGAATCTAAAGAACAACAAGCTACCTTTAGATCAGCTTTCATATCACCATCCCAGTTTTCATTTTCCCCGAACCAACCACAGTTTCTAAAAGTCAAATGTGCTCAAGTATTTAGTTCTATATTAACAAGAATTGCTACAACACCAGGACAAAGCTCACTCTCGTCAAATGGAAATACAACTAATCAAGTAAAATTTCCAACAATCTGTGCCAACAATCCCATCAAGAGTACTGCTTTACCTCTTGGGTATCAAGGTAAGGTTAAACCTGATGCAGGTAAGCAATGTGAATTAGCTGAATGTATAATGTCTGGAAAGTTTTAACAGGTTGCTTTCATTCCTTCCACAGAAAATGCTTGAATGGCTTAAATTTATGTCCCTTATGTAAGGACTTCCTGAAAAAGAAAGTTCAAGAACTTGGTCAAACTGCAAAACAAGCAATTCTTAATCCTTATTCAAGCACTGAAGTACCAGCTGTGAGCCAGGACATTGAAAATGAAAGGTCTGACTCAGGGTTAGATTCACCCTCTGAAACTGCAACTGCAAGAGAAATGGAGCAAGATGAATTTGAAAATACTATAAGACAGCTTAATCATGAAATTGCAAGTCTTAATCCAACTTTACAACCATTACCAATTTCCAGCAATAACCAGACTCACAAGAGCTGCTTCCAACACCAGTGAAACTACTACTAAGGTCCCAAGCTACTACTAAGGTTCCTCCACACTGCCGAAAATGCCACCATCCCGTTCGTGGACACAAAAGACCAAACAGTTCACAGGTTAAATGTGATTTTTGTCCCAACGATGCCTGCACAGTAAATTCAGGCAATAGTTTCTCGAGATGCAACTGTTAATGGCACAGGGAAAACCACACACAGAGAGACACTCCACCAGCTCCAGCATACCAAATAACTGTAACCACAAACCAGCATGTGGATGTGACTGAGTGGCTCTTGCCTCCAAATATTTGCCAATCAACCATAGCAGGGAGTCTGATTGGAAGTAATGCCTGTGTTATGTAATGTATTACGTGACGCATCCGGGACACATTAAATTTGTTGTTGTTCACCATGTGCTCGTCTGTTTTGAGTTGCAAACCATAACATGGTGTTTCAGGAGCGGGATTTTCAGCCGAAGATCGTTTAAACCGAAACAAATAGGCGCTGAAAACCAAGACACTCACCAAAGGTATCACACAAGTAGGCTGTGAAGACCTCAGTTTCCACGAATTCACGCTCACGCCGCTTCGAAGTTAGAACTGTTTGCCGTCGTATGTCAAAACTAAAAACATGTCACAATTCATGATCCCTCCGACGTCAAAAATGGATATCACAGGAGATCAAGCTGAAAATTAGGAATTCTTCAAAGACAGCTGGAAGAATTATGCTACCGCTACCAAACTGGAACAAAAAGACAAGAAAATAGTCACAGCCACGACGTTGTTGTCGATCATGGGTAAAGAATGCCTTCACGTCTTCAGAAATTTCCCTATGACCGAAGATGAAAGACAAGATGCTGATGTTATCCTCAGAAAGCTTGACGAATATCTTGTGCCCAAACGAAATACGATTTATGAACTGTATGTATTTAACGGTCGTTCTCATAAACCCCGTGAAAGCTTTGATCAGTTCTTAACTGAACTTCGCAGACTTGCCGCTACGTGCCAGTTCGGTGCATTTGAAGATGAAATGCTTCGTGATATCGTCACTGGTCTACGAGATCACGGACACCGCGAACGTCTCTTATGGGAAACTACGCTCACTCTTCAAAAAGCCATCGATATTTGTCGCACAAATGAAATGGCAGCAAGCCAACGACACAAAATGGAACGAACCGACAATGTTCATCTCGTCCACGGGAACAGGAATCCTCGCAGGAATCCCCGCAAGGTCAAAAATTGCAAATACTGCGGAGACTCCCACGAAGCTGGAAACTGCCCAGCCTTTGGCAAAACGTGCTCTAAATGTAACAAAAAAATCACCTTGCAAAAGTCTGTCGCTCCACCCCCAAGCAGAGCAATCAGAAACCAAAGAAGAAATCCAAAGCAAGATTGAAGAGCTTGAGTCCATAGGTGTTATTGCCAAAGTCACAGAGCCAACTCCCTGGATCAGTAATACGATTGCAGTGAGAAAGCCGATCAAACTCAGACTATGTCTAGACCCTCTACATCTGAATAAAGGCATCGTCAGAAACCATTATCCAACGCCCACTGTGGGGGATATCGCGCCTAAGCTAACAAAAGCTAGAGTCTTCTCTGTTGTAGATGCCTAAGACGGATTCTTACAAGTTGTCCTAGATGAACCGTCCAACTACTTAACGACGTTTTGGACCCCCTTCGGTCATTATAGATAGCTACGAATGCCCTTCGGAATCAAATGTGCCCCCAAAGAATATCAAAGACGACTTGATGAATGCTTCGAAGGTCTGGAAAACATCGGAGTGATCCACGATGACATAGTCATCTTTGGATCTGGTGATAACACGGAAGAAGCCACTGCATCTCATGATGTAGCATTCAAAGCTCTCCTAGACAGATGCAGAGAGCGAGGCCTAAAGCTGAACAAAAAGAAATTACGCTTCAAGTTCAACAAAGTAGCATACAAGGGCCACATACTTGTATCAGAAGGTCTTTAAGCTGACCCAGAGAAGATCCAAGCCATCCAGAATATGCCCCGTCCCACAGATGTACATGGAGTTCAGCGCCTGATAGGAGTAGTTACCTACCTTCCTAAGTTCCTACCACGGCTCAGCACCGTATGTCAACCCCTGCGTCGCATAACAGATAGCAATTTTGTCTTTGATTGGCTACCTCAACACGAAGATGCCTTTGTCAGCATTAAGGAACTAATCACCAAGCACCTGTTTTGCGTTACTTTGATGTCAGCAAAGAAGTCACCTTTGAGTGTCACAGCTCTGATGTCGGCCTTGGCGCTGTCCTCACCCAGGAGGGACAACCAGTTGCTTATGCTTCTCGCACATTAACCCAAACAGAAATAAACTATGCGCACATCGAAAAGGAATGTTTAGCAATTGTATCTGCTATAACTGCAGCAATCGTAACCTCACAATACCACGATGATAAAGAGAATTTATTCGGTGCGAATGATGTTGATGGTATGTGGGTTGAAACTTAAAACAATAAATGAATACGAAATTGACTAGTAAAAGTGACAGGAAAGAAATACACTGAACGAACTGAACAAACTTGAAATGACAATATTTACATTGTTACGATTTCTACGAAACTGCTGGACAAATAGAAACTGCCCAAAGGCGAAATAAAGATAAACTGGAGTAACTGCTCAAAGCGAACTACTGTATGACTAGCGGAAGACTAAACTCTGAACTGAGAAAAACTAATTTATATATGCGAAAACGACTAGCTAATTTAAAGTGCAATTAATGCCTATATTACGAAAGAAACTAATGAACGAAGATACGTGACATAGAAACAACAGAAGGTAACTAACCAGCGAGAAAATACTAACGAATTACGAGAAACAGCSACAACACAAAAAGCCACCCTAATGATTGATTCAATGAGAAAAAAACAAAAAAAAAATCCGCACGCTAAGACCCTACATTTGCTGCTGAATGATTTGAGCATTACATTCTGGGCAAAAACACTATCCAAGTACTGTCTGATCACAAGCCTCTAATGACAATCTTTTCGAAACCAATCCTCACAAGCCCCAAACGCCTTCAAAGGACGAGACTCCGACTACAGAAGTACCCACTAATGGGATCATACAAGCCTGGGCCCCAAATGTTCATGAGTGTCACACTATCCCGAGCTGCTTTTCCCCTGCGTCATGCCAAACCAGACTCACCTGAGTACTTCATCTTTCAAGTCAACCAAGAAGAAAGTTCTCGCAAAGAAGCTGAAGAGACTAACGCGGAAGAAGCAGTCTTCGTCACAGACAAGCGTTTGGAGCAGATCCGTCTAGAAACTAGAAAGGACACTTCTCTTCAAACACTGATGTCGCTGATCATGACTGGATGGCCCAATGACAAATTAATGACCCCCTTCTGTGCACGTGAATACGGGCCTTACAGAGACGAACTAACCACTCAGAACGGAATAGTGAATCGTGGAACAAGAATCATCATTCTAGTCTCGATAAGAAGAGAAATGACAACCAGAGCCCATCGCTCACATTTGGGATTCCAGTACACAACCAGCTCTGCTAGAGACATATTGGCCAAGAATGACTGTTGATCTAACTGAAGCAGTTCAAAGATGTGAAATCTGTCAGCAGACCAGACCTGACCTAACGAAAGAGCCGTTAATGACCTACCCATTTCCAAACCTGCCTTAGCAAATTGTCGCTAGCGATTGCTTTGAGTGTGATGGCAGCCATTATCTGATCGTAGTCGACCTCTACTCAGATTTCATTGAGATAAAACAGCTGAACTTACTGTCCTCAGCCGCTTTGATTAAACAGCCCAAGAAAATCTTTGCCCCTCATGGAATCCCTGTCAAGTTAATCTCTTACAACGGTCTTAATTACGCCTCTGGGGAATTCACTGACTTCACTCGTGACTGGGAAATCCAACATGTCACTTCCAGACCCCGTCACCCAAAGGCAAATGGCAAGGCTGAATCAGCAGTCAAGATAATGAAGTCTTTTATCAGCAAAGCCAACAAATAAGCAACAGATATATGGAAATCTATCCTAGTATGGAGAAACTCACCCACTCCCTCTCAAGGCAGTTCCCCAGGCAACGCCTTATGTCATGCAGAACAAGATCATTCCTACTGTGCAAGGAATCGCTGTACAAACTTGAAGTACAGTCCTCTGTAAAAGCATTTCTGATTTGCTTTAGGAACCTTTCCTCTTTAAGATTTTGTTAGTCCTCCCAAGTTTGTTATACATCTACTTTTTTCTGAGAAGGAAAATGTTATGTAATGTATTACGTCACACATCCGGGACACATTAAATTTGTTGTTGTTCACCATGTGCTCGTCTGTTTTGAGTCGCAAACCATAGCAGCCTGCACAGTTATTGCTATGCTAACTGGATGCCATTTTCTTGAAGGTAAAATTTTCATTCCTCAACAACTTCAAGATCTATCGCAGGTAATTCCTCTCTACAGCCAGCTAATTCTCAAGGGAAACCATATTTATAGCTTATTTCATGTGCCTGTGCAACAACTAAACCTGGAAGTCAAAGAGGTCCTTCACTACAACAATGAAGAATTTCAGAAAATTGAAATAATTGTAGACTTGGATTTTTTCACTGTTGAAGACCTTGAATCTTATCTTGCAAGCTACCATTGCCAGCATCCAACATTTGGTGCAGTCCTGATTGTGCCCCCAGACAAGACAGTGGTGTTATGCTTTAGGAATGCGGGTATTTGCCTCTTTGAAAGTCACAGACATGGCCACCAAGGAGGCATTATAGCCTCAAGCTCTTCTGGAAATGCCCGCAATTTTGTGCGATACGTCGAAAGGATGGTAGTGAGAGACTGGGGAACGCAGTTGCAGGGATCAAACATAGCTGTACTAGGTCTNGCTCGTGTAAGACGTCGTTTAAAAGTGCTTTCCAATAAAAATACTGATCGTCGATGGAGTCAAATATCTCGCCGACATGCCATGGGGCGGAACTTATATCTTGCAACAGCATAGCTTCATCGATACTTTTGTGACTTCTAACAGTGATGACTCTACTTGAATGATGAATAGCTCTCTCCCTCATAATTCCATAAACCATTGCATGATCACTTATACCAGGATCGTAAACATTGGCTGTTCTGAACAGTTCAGGTTTATTTGTCATCATAACGTCTAACAATGTTTGACTTGTTTTGGTCACTCTTGTCGGCTTCTTTATTAGACACTCCAGGTTGTGTATTTGCTCCAGGTCACATAGGAACTTCCCTTCCTTTTCATCTGGTTTAAGCCTATCCATATTCAAATCACCAGTGACTACAATCCATTGCCTCTGTAAGGATGCCCAAGAGACCAGATTATTCAAATCACTTTCTGATCTGTTATAATAATCCTTTCTTACCGCCGTCGGGGCTCGATATATGCCCAAAACAATAGCGTCATGTCTTCCAAATTTTGATTCCAGGGCTAATGCTTCGAAGGTGGTAAAATTTCTCGGCAGCTTTAGCTTCTTAGATGAGAGACCCGATGAGACATACGCCATCACACCACCGCCTCCTTTCACACGATCCTTGCGGTATATATTATAACCATCGATCTTAAATTGTTTGTTTGTATATGAGGATTCAATTTTTGTTTCCGATAAGAAAATGACCTGTGCCTTGAAATCGCCTATCAATAGTTTCAACTTTTCGAATTTGTTTTGCAAGCTGTTAATATTTAGATGCATAATAAGTAGTTCTCGCCCGTCCCTTTGCCTACTATCAACGATCCGTGACGATGAATTCAAAGGGCCATCATTTGCATATTCGCCTTGCTCAACAATGGCTTCTTCGATTGCAAATCCATCCATCTCGTCAAAAAATGAATCACTCAATGGCGGTAAAAAGCACAAGGGACAAATCCAATCGATTGCTGCTCGATCCCGAAGGTGCTTGAAAGCGGAACTTGACATACTGAGGCATTTAGCGTGAATCCAAAAGCCACAGTTGGAACACAGAACCGCGTTCTGGTTCTTCCTAACGCTTTTCCCGCATTCTTTGCAAGGAAACTTTGTTGGCCCAGGGTTTAGGTGAATATTTCCACTCAGCACCAGTCGCTGGATGTTAAACCAGCTGAGTCCGTCTGTAGAATGTAGCACTCTACACGATCAAAATGACTTTCCTCTGCCGTATGATCTTCCTGGGTTGTAATCAGAGTGTTATAAATCTGCGAGCTAGCGAGCCATGCGAGCCAAGGGGCGAGCCATGCGAGCCAAGGGGCGAGCCATGCGAGCCAAGGGGCGAGCCATGCGAGCCATGCGAGCCATGCGAGTCATGCGAGCCATGCGAGCCACACTCAAAATGTTAAGAGTCTTAATTT